TCATAGAGTATTATGGTGTTTTGCAATTCCTAGGTCATGGAAATCTATTTTACTTCAAGAAAATGAAAGACTGGTAAAAAAACAATGTAATTTTACCAAATATCTAAAGATACATGGGGTCTAAATGTGGAGTAGAATTGCCCGGAGACCCACTAGTACTGTTTTTTCATATTTTTGAAACTGGAAAGGATCATGAAATCAATTTCTTGCTTTTTATTTTAAGATACCACATATATTTATGTAAATCATGCAAAAAATATCTACAATAACTCAGTTGAAAACATACATTTATTTTATGGAAATGTAAAAGAAGGTGGATTAAGTACATCCTGTTCCAAAAAACAGAATACGTTTTGTCATATTGCCGGCTCCATCAGATATCCGCAGTGGGTATTTTTCAATGTTATAAAGTCCACAGGCAATACGCAATAAATCATGGCACTTACTGTTAATTCGACACCAAACAGAAGAAGAAGAAAAAAAATAAAAAAATACCACCTTGGTTTTAAATTATTTACTTGTTATACTACTGATTTGATAACAACACCGGCCTGTAGTTCCTTACACCTACTACTTACATCTTTACATAAGATTATCTGATTTAATGTCTCTTGCGATCATTAGTGATCGCACTTTGTTTGTCATAATTAAGCATCATGTATTCTTTAAACTGTTATCGACATCTCAGAAAACGATGTGCCAATGTAATGACAATTGGCGGAAAACCTTTCAGGACAATGACAAACTGAAACGTATAATAACATAGTTCCTCTCTTTAAAGGGCCCGAGGAATCGGTCCAAAATCATATTCGTTATGTTAATCCTATTTATATAATGAATATTCATAAAACATATCAATGGTACTAACTACTAGTAAAGGGCATATCAATGGTACTAAATACTAGTAAAGGGCATATCAATGGTACTTAGTACTAGTAAGGGGCATTGTATTTGCAACAAAACTATCGATTTATTACTTCTCACTGAACGTGCGTGCTCCTATAACGACAGTTTGGATCGAGATTGACGGCTGGTATCTACTCTTTCTTAATACCAAATCATCAAAACATTTTTAAGACTATTACATGTACTATGGAATTGGCGTATCCAATCATAAATACATTAGCACATTCATAAAAAATGTCGATATAAATATACATAAACTAGAATGCATTCCCGTATTATAAGGATGACAATAATTCCCTTTTTATTTTTAGTGTATGCACATTGATAAAAATACCGGTGCTTCAGGACAAGCTTTTCTTTTGTCATCAACCAGCTTATGTTAATATCTCTACCGGGAGCTTTCTTCAAAAAGAGCCTGCATTATGATACGTTAACCTTTTTTTCACAGCTACAATTTCATAAGCTTTTGATAGCAATTGGAAATATGAACGAAATAATTAACATTTGTAATGTCTTACTATAGTCTTTACATAATTTATATATACATCACCACTCGGGATCCAGAAACAGGAATTTAGACTTTGTAATCGATATATTTTTAAATGTATATCTTTATACATTTACATGGATATATCGTCAAATATATAACATGAACTTTATGTGATAGTAACTACCTAACAGTTTTTATTCAATCATTCTTGTTGTGCTCTGACGGAAGCACGCAGAGGGTTGAGTTCTCAATGTGGGCGTCAGTGGTTCAAAATAGCATTGTGAATACATTTTACCAATCATCTTTGATACAAACATTCTGCATACGGGAGACCGGGAACGTTCGGCAACCCCTGATGTTGTTGGTCTTGAGCTAATATTTACAATTGGGGGATCTTAGCAGTATAGTTTATTGGACATCTACACGAAAGATCAAATAAAACCCCGGAGAGTTTGGGCCTGAGCTTAAATAAAAATGGGCCGAAATTGCCTCGGTCTCCTCCAATTTTTATGTCGGTCTTAAAATGTCTTTGGTGCTTGTGTTTTATTGCCATTTCTCGATTTGACGACTTTAAATAATGATTATGTTATCTTCTGCTGATCAGTAAATATCAGAGATGATCAAAAGCTACGATCTTTATAGACTTTGCGGTCTCATATTGTAATGTTGTAATTTTTACTTAAAGCAAGGAATGGAATTTGGAAAAAGATGTGCATGTAACATGACTCATAGATACATAAAGCAAAGTTCAATTAATACATTTGTCCACAAAATTACATCATACAGCTGATTCGTTCTACATCATACAGCTTATTCGTCCTACATCATACAGCTGATTCGTTCTACATCATACAGCATATTCGTTCTACATCATACAGCTTATTCGTCCTACATCATACAGCTTATTCGTCATACATCGTACAGCTGATTCGTCCTTCTATGACTCATCGATGTTAGGGATTCAAAAAATATCCGAAACAAATGTTGTAACAGAGGGGCGGGGTTTAAAACCGATTAATTTCAAAATTTCAAAATTTGGAAGAGTACTAGTTTATGTCAAATTAAGATCATATAGATTTATAACTCTCATGTACAAAGATCAATATCATTGTCTCCCATCTCACAGCGACTTGGCGTCTTATCAGAGGAGAATTAATTTTTAAATAAAAAATCAGAATGTGACTTAACCACGCAGATATATGTTTACGTAAATAACATATATAGGTTGCGTCCCCCCGCGGGGGTAGGGGTGGGACCTGATGGTATACCTGCTGCTATATTTATGTTTACTAATGTTTAATATGTATATAATGTCTTAAAATTAGCGTAGTTTCAACCAACCAACTCTAAGTCTCATTGGATTATCAAAGAATCACACATCATTTGATCTTCATTTAAAAAAAAACCCAAAGTAATTAACTACACACATAAAACATAACTAAATACCCAATGCTGGTATCGGTCAGTGGAGACTCGGGGCCCACACCTAGGGCGCCGGATCCAGGAGGACCGGTAGGGCTCTACTGCTGAATACCATGCCTCATACCAAATAATACACACAATAAACTATGGTCCAAGGATACCCCGGGGAGCTGAAAAGACCCCCCTGAGTATCATCGAAGAAAAGTAGGCGAGGTTAAAGATATTTTAGAGGTAATGATATTTTAAACTTATAATAAGGGTTAGGTATATTTATTAGAATTTTAGACTGACTTCAAAAGTTAGATTTAATCAAATTCATCTTAGCTAGGGTTAAACCGATTTGCCTGGTTTCAGTGTCTTCATGGGGTGTCATCTCCCCTACTCTCTGATACCGCGTCCGACATCTTGATGCACTCCGGATAAACGGCATGTTACCATTTTTCGGTGCATGAGTCGTCTTGAAAAAATATAATTTCCCCCGTGTAGGACCTATAGGACAGACGACTCCTATCTGTTTACCTCTACCCTCTCCCCTTCTCTACATTCTATGTCCCTTTCCTATCTGTTCTTGTGTACTGAACGGCCGCAAGTCCGTAATAGCGGACGTAAAATCAGTGTACAAAGTTCAGTATTATTGCATTCTTAACGATCCATCAAAACAGAAGAGGTCAATCTGTTTTTACTATTCATGGTATATTTCCCAATATTTGCCATCCTAATTAGATATTTTTTTGTAGGATTGACAAAATCTAAAACTTTCATTTTATACATAAATTGCGAGGAAGAATCATAATATATATGATTATTAGTGTGTGTTCGTGTTTTGTAATTTTACAAATTTCATAAAAGACATAATTAAATTGTAATGTATGTTTACAAGAATCACATCTCTAAACCTGGTGTTAACTAACGAGAGTGAAATAAGTACCATACTTAACAACCATGAATCGTGTGATCTGTTTCTACCACAATCTCAGACAGAAACAATATTCTGAGAGTGGAACAACACAGTGTATTGTGGTAGAAACAAGATTTCGACATTTATCCCTTTCCTTCTTTTCTTTTCATCCTTATGATATCGTGTTTGTTGATTATCATAAACGTTTTAACATTAATTACATAGTTAATACTGTATCAATAGTTCGATGCCGTTGTCTTAGTGATGTCGAAAAACTATAGTTGGTCAGAATCTTATATATGTTTGTACTTTCTTAAAACACTATTTAACAGATATCAATCTATTGTAGAAAGAGGACAGGGTTACTGTGTATCGCTACTTAGTGACGAAGTGCAAGCCTTGCAAACGCCACTTCGATCGATTTCATTGTACTAACATTTAAATCCAAACAATCCTTTCTGTCCAAGCGAAATTTAGACCTTTAAGTACATTGTTTAGCTCCTATACGTACGATCAGGCCGGTAATTGAAATATCGATATACAACATGCAACGAGCGGATTCTTATCCTTTTAGTCACAATCAAATATTGATACATACAAGCGTGGTGTTTACTGGTGTTGATACAAACTTTGAATTATTAACATATACAATATGGAGATTAATATTTACTGTGATGTTAAAATAGTATTTAGTTATCGTCTTTGTGGCGCTTAGCTGCACAGAACAGTTGGTAGGTTACACACCGTTTGTCTTAAAATTTAAGTACTTGGCAAACTTTTCTATGTGGTCTTAAGCTAGAAACGTGACCCTTGTTGATAAATCTAAACTGCATAGAGTGGATTATAATATCTGCTATGTGTCACTGATACCGAGGGAGTAACGTGGTCAACATGTTATGATGAGCCTCGGTAAGACTGCTTCCTCACCCTTCTGACTGTGTAAACTATATCTATGAATATCCGTAATTACTGGAATGCTTAGTGCCTTCGCCTTATATTCTTGATTTAAATAAAAGCGTTATACAAATATTGGGCAATTATTAAAATTCAATTAAAACAATTCTACTTGTCTCATTCAGGGTATAACATCTCTGATATTTACGTTAAGAAGATTATAATATGTTATTCAAATGGCTTATTTGTATGAGGCTTATTCAAGACAGTTTGATTTAGTAATTTGATGAATCGTTGTCATGATAAATTGAAAAGCAAAACATACACTTATTTTCAAATTAATATTTATTTATAACTGTTATCTTAAAATATATATTCAAACATCACAGAAATAATAAATAAGTTATCAAGGTAGTTATGTAAATATAATGGATACATATTAAAATTATATGGAATCGCAGCTCATCACATACAGCAACGTGATTCAACACATGCGACATTATTTATTAGCTATATATGATTCAATTAGTTTTAAGTTAATCAAGCAGTCATTAGGAACATTTAATAAAACATCACACAAAGCCATTACCAAGACGATGAGATTCACAAAGAAATAAAAAAAATATCATATCTTTATGAATCTCTAAATCTTGTTAAAAAAATCTAAATGTATTTATAATTTGTTGTTAAGTAACGTTGTTGTTTTCTTGGAACGCGATGAATAGAAATATATTTGGCGATTGCTCAAAATTATAAACAGCGTGATACCTTCATATTTGGATACTTAAAATGAGTACATTATCTTCGGTGTTAGATAACGCTGAAACCAATTCCATAATAATCAAGCGTAATGTAAAGAAATGTTATACGATGTCATCCGTCATTGTGTCCAATAGGTGATGCCTCTCGTACATTTATCAGGATGACACATTTTAGGTTGGCAATTCACTATTCATACACTCAGAAACAGCTTAGCTAGGATCCCACACATCAGTATTAGGGGAGACAATGCGAGTTGGATGGATCCGGTGCCTAGAAAAAGAAAACTATGCATCAGACAGAATAAGATAAATATGTTGCCCTTTTCCCTTAAATAAGTTTTTTTCTTTCCTTGTTTGACACAACCCGCTGTTATATCATGCATCATTTAGATAATTTGATTATTGATTAAGATGTAGTTTGCATAAAGAACTCAAACCAATATCTTTATCTGAACTGGCTTTATATTTTTGTGGGATTTTTAAGTGACATGCATCCATCGAACTTTATTTTTATTTTTATTTTTAAATAGCCAAGGTTCGACAATACTGACGTCATTACATACATAAACGACTGCCATTAAATACGTTATGTCACCAAATAGCTCCAGGTTGGCAATAAAATAGTTAAGCAACTAAGCAGATTGTAAAAACATTAAGCGTACAATGCACTTGTTAAATTTCGACATCATACGACAGGAATAAAACAATTTATTTATTGTTGAATAGTATCCACTCGTGACCCGTGGCTACATGCAATGCTAAACTGAAGGTCATGACTAAATCTGAAATACGCTCCCATATCAAAGTTAAGTGTGCTTTACAGATACCACAAAAACAGATACAGGGAGAGTTTTCAAGGGGGTGAACAAACTCAGGAATGGTAGAATTGACATCAAATAGGTATATGGCAAGGCAGGCCAGTTTTTTAAGCATCAACGTAAAGGAAAATGACCTGGGTACATTAATTTGAACCCAATAGGCGTATTAATAACGAGCAATGCTTTGTCGAGAAATCCAGAAAAGCCAGTGATTGCAAAACGTATCTGAAGTGGCAAGGAGGTTTTGTATCCTTTTTTCACGTCTAGTGGGCCTGTGGGTCTGTGCTAGGAAGGACAAACTAGCACTGCCAAGTTTAAAAGAGCCAAAACCCTCAAGCTTGTCAAACTAGTATGCATGTATTAGCTTCCAATCCAAAGGTTAGATACCATTAAGCTAACTCACGCCAATGCAAGCAAATCATGAGAGGTAGCTACATATGGATCACCAACACTATTAACCAGATCTAAATGCCTGTGAATTCTTCCTGTTTCTTTTACTTAAGCATATGCTCTTTGGGAAACGACACGCGCCTAGGAGTGATCTGGGAATTTTAATCTGTTGGTGTCTCGCCAGTATACCAGGGGGAGACTACCGCGCAGCGTTTACGTCAAGGATAGCGCGATTGCAAAAGTGCTTTTTTGCTAAGAGGTGTACTTCAGAAATAGTAATAGAACGATCAAACTATATACATATAACATGTGATTTCTGACACGAGTGACATATTTGTTTTAAATGTATGCAACCATCACAGTCGATTACAACTAATGTCTAGGTAACACAATTCTGACGGAATACAATCAATGATATAAGAGTATTGACGTTATCAAATCTCTGGTGTGACAGCACTCATTATTTTTTAATTCGTTAAATTAAATGTAACATTCTCATTCATATGTTATTATTATAACATTAAATAACAATTAACACCAACATTTTACAATGAAGTCTTACCTGACTTGAGTGGTGTGCTCTTTTGTCCTATAAATATTAAACACATTGTATACATCCTTTGTTACAGTATATATTTGTACCAGTGGTACACAAAGCGCAAATAAGGGGAAATAGCATGCCAACACTGTTCCGAGATATATGTAATAGATATGGTACATGGTACTCCGTGGACCTATGATTCAGATTCAGATTCTTTATTTCCTTGTGTCTTTCAACACATCGAATGAACGCGTAGATGAAGATTAACCATGATATCAACAAAATTAAAAAACAAAAAAGTGACCCTAATGTACGAAGAAAAGGGTAATGCTCCTATGAAAACACAATATAACGTTACAAATTTACAACTTTATGAAACGTAAGATAAAATACACTAAAACTAGTTTGTTGGTCCTAATCCCCCTTCCTTATCCTCCTCTTAAAACAAAGCTAACAAGTGCCTCCATGTAATATTACATCCTTTTTAAATATCTGAAGACTTAGACTTATAGACAAGCAAATAGTAATCGAGACAAAAGGGACAAATGACGCCTGTTCATAGGTTTAGCCATTACATTCTTCTCTAATTCGCATAATTTCAATAAATGTTTCATGTTTTTATTCTTAATTGAAGGCATTTAAGTTTGCGATATACTTTTTACTGATCTATCATTTTTTGGCGATTGAACTATTCAATGAATTCCTGTTTAATGTACATATTTTCCTTTAGATTACGCTTGACGATGCTTTCAGACCTTAAAGTTACCAAACCCCATCCTTATCGCGGGGTATTTGAAAATAAATCATACAACCTTTATTGGAAAACATACAAGTTTACTTATCAAGTAACATAGTATAATTGTGAAGGAATTTTTATATGGCGACATGATTATTTTCCTTGCTGAATTGCCGTAGTTTTTGTACAATAATGATTTTACATCTTTGCGCGAATAAAGTAATATTTTTCAAGATACAGTGCGATTAACATTAGTGCTTAACATGATTGTATGATTATCATACTTTGGAACCATGTCGTTGTTGTTATTTACTTAAGCATTGAACTCTTTTGTATGGCATTTATGATCTATTTGAATGACACAGCTTTGCAACCAAATAAAATAATGCGCGCTGGCCGCAGCCAACAGGCTCCTTTAAAAGGATCGTATTTCAACGAATGGTCGATTTAACATAGTTTTATAAGCCTGTATTTTCATCTGAGGGTAATTCAGCATATCTGTTTTACATATAAGCGAAATGGTTGCAAAACAATGTGTTGAACTTCGTTGTTATATCAATATAAAGAAAGTGTACCTAAAAAATAATTAAATGAATGCATGCTATGCACCTATAAAGTTTTGAAAACATATTTTTATATAGTAAATTACTGTTTATATAATTGGTGTATCATGTTTTGATAACCTTCGTACAAAAGATACTGTGTAGCATTCTTCATGCAAAATGATCAGTAAAGCGTATGCATACTAAGGTGTTAAAATGTACGAGATCACAATGAAATCGATGGAGCCATACAGTGTATTTACTTACGTTTTATAATTATAAACGGTTCGAAATGAAATCCAAGTCACCAAGTCAAATTATGTATGAAAGATACATCAATAAATTTAAGATGACGTTTCGGATAAACTTTTTTTATTAAGAGAAACATTTTGACCATCATATAATTGTTGAATCTGATACATGTATCTGTATTTAAGATAATCAGTCGTTATGTTAGGAAATGATAATGAGACTTAGGACTGTTTAGTCCTTGGCATTTAAAGTCCTATATTTCCATCATAAAATATCACCATGACACTAATCTGAACTTTCTTTCGTGTTACTTTTATTTATCCACTAAATAGACCTAACAACTAAATTTAGTATTTCTTTTATACGTCAAAATTACACTAACTTTCTCAAAACAAAATGGACAACATTAAACATTTTCATAGCTTTTGATGGAAAAGGATATTTGCATATTGAAGAAATATCTTTAACAAGAGGCCCAAGGGCCTTAGCGGTCACTTCAGTTATATTATAAGTATAGGTAGCTCAATTTCATTGTTGAGATGTGATGTGAAAATCAACATGTAAACAAAGTGAAATACAATACTTGTAAAAATTATTGAAATAAATCATTTTGCTATTTAGAAATATTATATCTATTGTTATTTAGCTTATTTTCCTCTTTGGCAAACCCCTGGGATAGGCCACGATCTTAATTTCTGATACTTTTTAATTTCAATTTCATTATGACTATTCCAACCAAGTTTATTTATGTTTTGCTCTAAATGGACAATAAATAGTTAGAAGTGTCATTTCGCTAAATAAACAAAGGAGAACAGCTAACGAAAGGGAAATATAACGAACAATGTATATAATGCACCTAAGGGCAATTTCATCTACATCTGAGTGCACAGATTTTTTTAAAATATCAGCCATTTCCCCCTTTTTGGCCCACCCCTCCAGCTCCCGGGGCAAGGACGGATAATATTTGTTCATACTGTCTAATTGCCATCTAATAACAATTATTCCAACCAAGTTTTGGAATTTAGAAAATGCACCCTAGCCCCCGGTGATGGGGCAGGAATTCCAATTTTACATTGAAATACCCTCTTCTACAAAAGATGATTCTGGCCAAGTAAGAATAATTTACTACTGAGAATTGACAAAATATACCCAAAAGTGTTATTTCCCTTTATAAACTATAGTAACGTGTACGCCCTCCCCTATGAAGTACGGATGGCTTAGGGATACTGAATATAATTTCAATAAAGCCCCTGATGATATTTCCATCCATGCACAGAAAGTAATTGTAGTTTATCTGAATCTGGAGAAGGAGACTTTTGAAAAGTTGGTTAATTTTAATTTGGGGCCCCGCCCTGGCCCCTGTGGTGTTGGCGGAAATCCCAATTTCACACTTTCATAACATCTTCCTCCAAGGATGATCCGCACCATTTAAGAATAATTTCCTACTGCAAATTGACAAAAGGGACCCAAAAGAGTTACTTCCCTATATATATATTACTGTATATTTAACGTTAACCCCTACTCAAGGGAGAACGGTTGGCCGGTGGGTTCTGACATTTAAAATTTAAACAAAACACCTGATGATCTCTCCAGCCATACAGAGAAATTGACTGTAGTAGTACTTTGGATCCATCCTCGATATCCAGGGGTTACGCTCACTTTCGCTCTCTACACCGCTGGAATATATCATAGCAAAATTGAAGGCACGAAGAAAGCTGTTTGATTGGTCTCAGGTAAGATAACTGACCAATCGCTAGGCTGATACATGCGCCTGTCTTTTAAAGATTACAAAGGAGTGACGCCCGACGTTAAAGCCTGTCAATTTTTACCGTTACGTGACCGCGATATTTTTCTGATGTATATCATATGATCGAACTAGTCTCCTTGTCTTATCAACACGGTGGCGCTCACTGAGCCTTCACTTTTGCTGTGACATATTCCAGGGGTGTAGAGAGCGAAAGTGAGCGTAACTCCTTGACATCGAGGATGCTCTGAGTTTGAAGAAGATTTTGAAATATTAGTAAATTTTTCCGTTTGGGGTCCTGCCCCTAGAGTAAGGGTAGGAATCCCAATTTTACAATTTTTTAGCCTCATCTACCAAGGATGATTCTGACCAAGTTTAAAAGGATTCCATGCACCGGTTCGTGAGAAGAAGTTGAAAATGTAAATTATTTTACGCAAGACGGACGACGACATACGGAAAGCGATCAGAATAGGTGACTTGAGCAAAGCTCAGGTGACCTAAAAACTGATTCCTAACGCTTCACAAGTTTCTTTTTATTATCTTTCACACCTCTATGTTAATATTTATGTTTACAGGTTTTAACTGGTTTTGCTGTTGTTACTTTCCTTGTGAATTTGTTGCTGTTGAATTATTTACTTTTGAATATGTTTCTGTTGAGAATATTATAGTATTGATGTTGAAATATCAATTAACATCAAAACGTCCGTTCATCTTCTCACTCGTGATGGTTTACATATATTGTTTATTATCTTGATCATTATGATAATTTATTTGTTGGTAAGTATGTTTTCGCCAACATGGATCTGTAGTATGTAACGTTTTAAGCTTGTAATAAAATTGATTTTGAAATGTCTTTATAACGTACTAGATTTTACAGCAGACTAAATACCAGGCACACCATTTCGTTAAAGAAAAGTTCTGACCTTCGTTTTTATCGCAACGTTTTAAAATAAACAAATGGATATATTTGATGCGGTAGAATTTTATTAGTTTGTAAAGTTGTAATGAATTACTAGTTAGATTTATTTTTTATTCATACAAACTAATTCGAAATAACACGGAGTTATATGTTTTTTGGTGATTAAAAAAAAAAAAATCATCATAGTTTGCAACAAAACATTCTTTTAAGATAAAGTTATAGCAATGACTTACCTGTGCATTGGTAAAGGCAAACTTCCTTTTTTGTACAAGATGTTTTACAAATGGCAGTGGTTGTTACTGTAAAATATAACACAAAATCACTGATGATCCGCTTTCTTTCGCACGGTACATTAGGAAAGTTTAGATACAATATTGTATTTGGTGTATACATGCGGTTCTCTATGTATTTCAATGTTATACCACGGGCAAATTTATCTTGCAAGGCTGCATATATGGCTGCCGCCGGTTAGGGGGGAAATATGACTTCTGAATCACACTGCATGTCGTCGTAAGAGGCAACTAATGATGGACATCCTGTGGAATTGGGGTTGTTTCTTCCGTGTGATCCTTTCAGTATATATTGTAGGAGTCAATAATGGACATGCTATATGCCATTACATTTCATTTCAAAACAACTTATTAAATCTAAGAGATTTAATGAGAATAGCGCAACAGGCTTAGCCTATTAGATGTCAGGATTGTGTATCTTATGAGGTGGATAACTTGCAAATTCAGAATCAGAATTTGTTCTTCTGTAACTTCCACTAGGTGGATGTGGATAACTTATCGTCCACTCTCCCTTGCTTTCCTATCTACGTTCTGTTCAGTCGGTGCCACCTTAGACACTCGTCTACATATGACCCTGGTAACCGAGGAACCCCCCCCCCCCCCAGAAATAATAAAATGCTGTAGAGGGAAGAATTCAAAATCCTAACTCAAATCGACATGAGTGGGACAAAATATGAAAGACAGGAAGGAAAAGGTAGTTAAAATTTGAAAATACAAATTTAGAAGAGTGAACACCATCAAAAAACGAAAACAAATGAGAGAGGCATAGTTAATTCTCATGAGAAGGTTAGCAATCTGCTGGACAAATTTAACTCTGAACTCAAAAATGATATCGTCAATCGGGAACACATTGATTCTCACGATTTCATCCCCGATAATACCGGTATAGTTCATCCTAACCTTGTATCTTGTATCTCTTGTATCTTGTTTCTTTTTGTACAAGGAATGTTTTTTAAGTAAACGATGCTTTAGGTAAATCAAAATATCGCTTGAGGTAATTAAACAAGAGGCCCAGAGGGCCTGTATCGCTCACCTGGATATGGTTAAAGTACTTGATATGAGGTAAAGATATAGTACTCCATTGAAGTTACATGTAATGTATGTACTTACAATGTATGAACTCGCAGAAAGTTACATCCAGTATGTCTGGTGATATAGTAAGAACAAACTTCAAATGTAAAAATCTAAGATGGCGGGTTGGTGGCCATCTTGTTTTAAATTATAAACCCTAATAGTAACAGGCACTACTAGACAATTGATGGAGACAACATTTGGATAAAATCCCGAAATTCCCATGATAGAAGAAGGATTTCAAAGGTTTAACAATTATTTTTCCTTTTTGGCCCCGCCCCTCTGCCCTGGGGGCAACACCTACCATTTGCACAAAATAAAGTGCCCTTGGACTAAGGATGCTTCAGACCAAATTGGGATGAAATCCTTTAATCCCTATGGTAGAAGAAGGATTTTAAAAGTTTTACCTCTATTTCCCTTGCTGGCTCCGCTCCTCTGCCCCCAGGAGGGCACACCCACCGTTTATACAAAATCGAGTGTCCTTGGCCTAAGGATGTTCGAGACTAAATAAGGATAAAATCCCTTAATCCCTATGGTAGAAGAAAGATTTTAAAGGTTTTACCGCTATTTCTCTTATTGGGGCCGCTCCTCAAAATGTACTCGTCAATGTGTATATAAATATATTCAGGACGATTCATCAATTTTGAATACAACAATATTTGGTTTGAACTCGTCCTAGATACGTATAGGCTTAACTGTATCGCTGTTTTCTCCGCGCTTTGTCTCTATGTTTCATTAATTATTTCCAAAATTATGTAATCAAAAATTGTCTCTTACAGCAACTTATGTATATCATTTTACATTGTTTCTTATATGAAAATGAGACGGTAATCTATTTCAGCTGACCCGTATTTAATCGCCATTGCAGTTCTATTATAAAACTAAAATTAATTCGATGTGTGATACGAAATAAATTAGTAGTATCAGTTGATTGGAATTTAAGTTCGAGGAAAAGATTGTATTACATATGTGATAATTCAACCAGTTAATCTTCTTATAGACATGTTGTGATACTTCAAGGATGTTTTAAACTATATTTAAAATGAAATAAACCGCCACCTGGAATCAGGTGATATTGTTCACATACCGGGATTATTGTTACGGTCAATTTGTGTATGAAATATTGTAAAACGGGGTATACCTGGAACAATTTAAGTTTTAAATTGTCTTACCTTCTCTGCGTTTTCGTGCTGGAAATGTAAAAGATAAGATCTTATTACAAGTTGTTGTATCAAGCAATAAATAGAGGATATTTGATGGTGTCGTCAGTAATAACAAATATATTTCACGAGTGTGGCTAATATTTTGATATTTTACTCGAGTGCGCAGCAGGAGTAAAAAATATCAAAATATTAGCCCCACTAGTGAAATATATTTGTTATTACTGAAGACACCATTACATTCTATTTATTTCCATTTTTAATCATAAAACATGAAAAATGTAATGCATTAAAAAAGGGCAGAAATCAGGATCGTAATAATTAGCGCCATATCCTAATAACGTCACACTTGACAACAAGGCTGTGCGCCATTTTGAATGGGATACTCAACGCAATTCCGACGTTTTCTGCTGTTTTCTGGTATTACTGCTCATAAATAAGGTTATCAATTGTATATTTATGTAAATACTTAAGTGTGTGTACCAAACATTTACCATAACAACCACTTATTCTACCGTCGCTTCATTTGAATCTGAACAAAAAACGTTGCCTTTGAATGCAGCGAATAAAAGATACCGTTACATGTATGATAGGTCAATATCAAAAAGTGATATTTTCACACTGTGAAAATATCACTTTTGATATTTGTCACTTTCATTTCAAATATATTTTATTGATTAAACAAAAGGATTGAGCAACAGGCTTTGCCTGTATAAGCTCTCTCCATGGCTTCCAGCATACTTTTGATATTTGAATACATTGAATTCATTATTTACATACATACATTTTATTTCCACTCCTCTCATGACACATGGATACATTTATTGCTAGGTAATATACATTTAATTAGGCTGGCTTAATATTTTCATGTTTCTACAGAAAAAAAAAAAAAAAAAATTCCTTGGAGAAAAAAAAATAAATTATTTAATATAGTTGTAAAATTTGTGTCAAGAAGAATTAAATATGCCGTTATGAATATACACAGTATTCAAATCGAATTAAATATATGGATTACGTCTTGACCTTGGGCAACTTAAATTTGCTACGGCAACATGAAATCTCACAGTGTGAAAAATATCAGTTTTATCAAGTAACAAGTATTTGATGGTCGTCTTTAAAGATGAAAGCTTATCCTATTTGAAATGGAAAGGTCATTTTATCCATGACGATGAAGATCAAACACATGTTGATTAGTATTGAATCATAAAAAGTTTTAAAATGTGGCATTTATTATTACAGTCAACCGACACCCAATGCCAAACTGGCAGAATTAATTTCCTTTTTCTTTGTTTTAAAAAAGTACAAGAAACATATATCGGTCATTAAGTGTTTTGCCTTAACTTTGTACACACATTAAGCTAGAATACTGTAATGATTAATACAAATGTAAAATTGTGATATGTAAACGTATATCTAATTTCATCTTTGAATTCGTGCAGTGCTTTTTTACGTTTTCTTCCGTTGTCAGTAAATTGTGACCGATTGGAATACTGCGTATTTTAGTAAGATATCAATCTAAAGTCGGCATTAGATTAACAGTGTCGTATGGAGGCAAAAGCAGGAACATACTGCCTCAATTCCTATGCACGTAAACATTGCACTCATGAAGGAACACTTGTCAATGGCCTTAGCTGTTAATATGATGCTTAACCCTTTAAAACCAAACTATATCGCTTCATATATCAAAATGTTACCTTATTCAAACAATGTACTATTAAACGTGTCGCAACGTTTCAAGACAATTTATTGTTTGTGTATGAAGTAAAACTTTGATAATTTTCCAAACTGATGCATCTATTTGAAGATATACATGTATGGCTTAATCATTCATCATGATGGAAAGTTGCTTATACATATTGTTTGGAACACGATTTGCTATTGTTGCCGGGCATGTACTTGTTTATTCTATGTATTTTTTTTTTAATTTTTCATATATAAGTGGAACGTACGATTTGAAAAATAATATAAGCAAATCATCAAATAAATATTCAACATTTACTTTACGGTATCATTTTATAAATCTACTACTGTAGGAGTGTATGATACAAAACCAACACGATTTTAACTTAGTCTATCCGGAATATATAGAGGAAATTTAATTGCTCACTCGTAAAAAAATATAAAATTATTAGCCACAATATTAAAATAGTTTTGTTATTACTGAAGACGACATTATATTTTCTGTTTAGTACATTTTTAAAGCATAAAACATGAAAAATGCATTTCATTTCAGTAATAATTACCATAACTTTAGTATGCATATACAATACCTACACCCATCTTTGTAGCCCAAGCACAAAAGATTCAAATATCACTAACTCCCTACCGTGACGTAACCTCTATCTCGATGACAGAGCCACGGAGTGATCTCCCTTCCTCTTCCTTTTATGGCGCCTGCTGCATGCTGACGCACGGAGCTTGCTCCAATTTAAAACTTTGTTTTGTCGGTTTGGTTTGAGTGTCAACTCATATTTTTGCGCAGTTTGTGTGCCTTTTACCCATCTTCCCTTATTGATATAGCTAATTGTTGTTGAAAATTATTTTTGTGCCTTTTACGGCCGGATATTTTACTCCACGTGTGCCGGTGGTGTGCCACGGTCCGCCATTATCGTGGGTTAATTTCCGACCTCTGTTTATTTCGGTGACGGTTGTTTGTTTCGGCAAACGTTATTTATTTTAACCGTTTTCTGAATTATATTACGGGTGAAATTCTTTCTACGTTGCGTACTTTGTACTATCGTATTTATCCTTATTTTCCCGTTTTATCTGCTTGTAAATGTTTTGTTTACGTTCGCTTTGGAGGGTATGTCTCGGTCGGGACAGCGACGAGGTAGTGCTCATGGGTGTTCCCATTTCTTTGTGGAACGGGACCCTCATGATGCCTGTCCCAGGTGTCGTCCTTGCAGTGAGGTTTCGCCTTGTGAACTTTGTTCACAGTCAAAATCTCAGGGCAAGGACTTCATTGTTCCAAAGCTACCCTCAACTTACCGTAAGACAGATTCGTCTGTTTCTTCCGGTAAGCGAGGGAAGCAGAGAGGTAGGGGTCGTGCCACCAGCTCTCTGGGGTCTGGTGGTACTGTCTCTGTTCCTGTCTCGGGGGGTCTTGCTTCGGCAAGTCCCTCTCGTGAGCAGGGGGTGGCCCTTCCTGTCCAGGAACTCCCTGGAGTAGGGGAGGGGCAGCCTGACCCTGGCTTGGCACAGCCAAGGGTCGAATTGGCCGGGAACGCCCGTAAGCTTTCGCGCTTGCCTTCGGGTAGGGACTACCGGCCGCCGGTCACTGACTCTGTCAGTGATCCCGGCATTCCAGGTGGTGCTGTCGTTGGGGACAGTCTTGGTGCCGGGCCTGTTCTTTCGGGTTCAGGTCCTGGTGTGACAACAGACTTTCTTTCGGGATTGTCTGTGTCTACCGGGATTAGTGACGCGCAGCTCACTAATCCCGGCATCAATGCTGGTCAGGCATACCCTCCCGGTCAGTTACCCGGACCCGGTCCTATTAGGTCCGGTCCCGAGTTTCATTCTTCTGGGAACCTGGGGGGTTTCCCCCCAGGGGTTGGGTTTGCTGGACAGGGGGCCGGTTTCCGGCCTCCGTTTTCCCCTGGCTTAGGGTATACGGGTGCCTGCGGGCAACCATCCTTGGGCCGCCCTTACCAGCCTGCGGATGGTTTTGGGTTGCGGCAGCATCCCGGCAGTTACGGGCTTAGCCCGTACATGTCCGGGTTTCCACCTGGAGGGAGTGGCGGTCCACCTTCGCCCTTTGGGCAAGTTGGCCAGCCCCAGTCTCAGGCAGGCCAGTTTGGCCAGTTCTGGGGTCACTCCCAGCCCGCGGGACCTTTCCCCTATCCTCCGGGATATGGGTTTAACCCCATGGCATTTCCGTCATGGAATCCTTGGGGTTTGGTCTCTCCCTCGCGGAGACGTGTTAGCA